TGCTCAGGTCCCTTCCGACCCTAGAAACTATGAAACTTCCTCAGAAGAAACAATTCTATTTTCCCTAGAGTGACCTTAACTTCTACCTTTTGTGAGTGAGGAAAGAAACTTTAATTTCCTCTAATGGAGGAATGCAAGACAGCATATATGCTGTGAAGGAAAGATGGCATGTATACTGTGTGTGAGAGAGGGCAGCCAAACTTTGTCTAACCAGGGGATCAATGGCAGTTTGCCAGGTGTGAGAGAGCTGCAGCTAGCTTTTCTGTCATATAATTTTATTGGTTTTCTTAAAGCAATTACAATAATGTAATAAAATGCAATTCATAAGGAAGAAAAACACAGGGGTGAGAAGGCAGGAACTATCACTAGTGAGGATAAACAAGAAATGTACTTTTTCTGTATGTTCCTGAAGTCTGAGAGATTTCTGATTTCCAAACTAAGACCTTCTTCTTCTACTTTTTGCATACTAGTACTTCAAGATGATAATTTTAAGTGGCTCAGTTAATGGCGATGCAGATCTATCTTTAAAATTTTATCATTACCAGTAATTTGGGGATATTTATAGAGCAGTCTACCAGTTGTGTGTGTGTGTGTGTGTGTGTGTGTGTGTGTGTGTACACCAATAAGGAAAACATTCCAGAATGGTAGACTTGATTAACTGAATGGGAAAAAAAATAAATTAATAGAATTGCTACTAATGCTGCTAGAGATTTTCTTCACTGAAGGCAACATTTTCCTTGGTGATGCTACACTGCATAGACTTGTACAGAAAGATAGAAAGAAAGAAACAACAAAAACAACAATTTGCTTTGAAAATCCAGATGTTGGAGATGCCCAGTAGCCCATAAGCAGTCTCAGGGGAACAGCTAGAATCTTATTCAGTGTGACTTATGCTAATTAAAATCAGCTGTACAAATACTCCCCACTTTATCTCAAAATTTACCATACTTGTTTGAAGAGAGAGAGCAAATGAAAAAACAGCCTTTTATTCCACTCACCCTTTAGTTCTACTGAGTAAAAAAAAATACTTTTTTACTGACCTCACAGAAAAGAGTGGTATTCATTGGATGTCTTTAGTGATTCTAAGCTCCTGTCCCCCTTACATATTACAGGATTGTAAAATTAATGAGTTAATGAGCAATTAAGTGCAGACCAGCTACACATGCAAAGTAGCTGTCTCACAATAAGACGCTCCAAAGAGCTGCAAAGTTAGACCTCAGAAATGTGTACTAACTTTTTAGCTGGTTGCTATTAAGCTTTAATTTACACATGTGTAGCAGGATCCTGCAGGGATCCTCCAACCCTGGGGGTTTCCTGTACCCCCAGGGCAGAGGGGATTGCCCCTGCAGTGATCCTCCAGCCCCAGGTGCCCCCCTCCCCCCCCCGTTGGGAGCCCCTCAGCTGGGATGTGTCAGGCTCCCAGCTATGGGGGCTTGCTGGTGCATGTGAGATGCAGAAGCAGAGGAGACACAGCATGGCAAGAGGCGTGTTGTGTGAATTGGGCATGAGATCCCATCGTGCCTTTAGCTTCATGTGTAGAAAGGGCCTAAGTACCCTAGCTGCAGTACCTTCAGAAATTTGTACCAGCACCTCGAATTACAGAATTCAGTTGTAAGCCACTGGATTTAAATTTAACTGAAAATAATAGTTATGCTACTATGGGAAATAATTAGGAATTTTTGAGCAGCCACCTGTGGGCAGGCAGAGTGGGTGGAAGGTGGTCTGCAGCTGGAGTGACATGTACTGGGACAGGAGCCTCCCAGCTGTAGCTCACCCCCCACCCCACATGGCTAGGCATGTGGTGTCCAGCACATCCCCATGGCCACTTCCTACCCCACACTACCTACCGCCTCAAGCAACACAACAGGGGCAGGAGCAGGAAGAGCTGCTGGAGGTGGGGGTGCTGAGCAGTACCTAGGTGGCTGCATCCACACTGGGAGCAGTCCCCCCAGGAAGCTGTGCATGCTGGCCAGGACTGGGGCAGGTGGAAGTACAGTGTGGGGTGCCCTGGGCAGGAACAGGTGGGGCTTGGCCCCATGTGAGCACTGCAGGGACAGCTCCAGGCCAGCTGGGGGAGGAGGGCGGACTAGACCTGCGTTGCCCTTGCGAGCACTGCTGCAGGTGTCCCTTGCCCCCCTCCTCCCCGCCTAGTTTCCAGGACCTAGCATGGGCAGCTGCCAAATGCACAGAAACACAACATGCATTAGGAAGATTTTATTCTGAGCTACTATGCAATCACCTCTATATGCACTACTCAAAAAATTTGAAACAGGACAAAAATTATTTTTTGAAATAAAAAAACTAAATATTTTTTAGTAGATGTTTGATTTTTAGTATATGATTTGTTTTGTATCTACGACTTGTAAATCTGGAAGATTTGTGTGTGTGGCCCTTGACAGCTCACCAAAACTCATTAAGTGGCCCTCCAGCCAAAATAATTGTCCATCCCGGTGTAGCATGTAGCTGTCCTCTGCTTACAATGCTTTCGGCATGAAGCGCTCCACCCTTTCTTAAGGAGCAACATCACACCTCGAATCAGCATGGAACTTTTCATAATAGGATTTGTAACTACTGTGACATGCCACTGTATAAAAATATTAAGGCAATTAATCAGCTCCATTTTGTCAAGCTGGAGGCACCTGAGAAAATGTACTTAATTTCCACTGAAATTAGTTGAAGTCATTAATTGATTTCAGTCGAAGTTAGATTCAGCCCATAGAGGCTGGTTTCTTTCTCTCTCAGAATTCTGTTACCGCTATTAGAAAGATTCTGTTCTGTCTTGGTATTAAATATTATGGCATCTATTAATTCTCCACAATCAAGATGTAGCAGCATTAACACCAAAACATTAATAAAAATGATAAATGAGTTTTCTTTAAATTGATTTCCATTAACTGTAAAATGGAGTGTAAGTAGATGCTAGAATTATAGGCAGGATTATTGGGGGGATTGAAGCCTAAGAGTACAGTTATTTATGTTGTAGAACATTGCAAATGACTTCTCATGAAGAAACTAAAATACATCCCAGATACTTACACATTCCACTTACATAGATATGCAAATACTTTCTTTATTAAGATGATGTCCTTTTTGCTCTAATAGCCTTACTGTGCATAAAGTGTGCTTTGTGCTGGAAGGTCCATTAATGACATGGAGATTACACATCTATTCATGTTTTCATCTTTTTAAATGTGCAATTCCTTTCCTTTTGCCTTTGATTTTTCTGATAGATTTATTATTTTTATTTTACAGAAAAAGCAAAGAACAAAGGATCTATCCCAGCTGTTTCATTCATACCATCCTTATGATCACAAGGTAAGAAAAAATACACTACCTGCCTTTTTTTGTTAAGAACTATCTCAGTCATATGAGGTAACCGTATCTCCTGGTTAGTATAAGAGTAAAAGGGAGTTATAAATATCTTGAAAGGTTCTAATGAATCTTTGTTTTGTTTCTTTGTGATATTGTATTAAATGTATCACTGAATTTCTTCACCTCAGTCTCATATGGCTGTATTCCTTGATTTAGTATTTATGCGATCCAAATCTCAGAGTGATCTCTTGAAAAAGTAATTTACAGATTGATACCAAACCTTATAAAATAACCTTAGTATGAACCTTTTTTTTTCTTTCCATTTATAGCATCAAACTCTTGAGTATGTTGGTTTTAGCCTGTTATGCTAATTAAATCTTGAACTAAGTTGTAGTCATGAATTTTATTGATTCTGGAGGCATCGGTGGAGAAGGTTGCTTTAACACAGTGTTCACTGTATTCTAAGGAAGAAAACACAGTGTTGTTAATTATTTATATCATTGTAGTACCTAGGAATACTAGTCATAGACCCAGGATGCTAAGATTTTGGGTACTGTATTAAAAACATTAAAGAGAAACGATGGCCTGTTTCCCAAAACCTAAGAATCTAAGTCAAGAGATAGTGGGTGGATGCAGGCATGGGAACAAGCAGGAGCACAAGACCATGATTGGTGATCATGAGAAGGAGTGATTTTAGAAATTCAACAGCCTGATTGCTGTCAGGTTTCTATAGACCTCACAGCAAAGAAGCAAAAGAGGACTTTGAAGGAGAATATTGGATGGTTCAGCAGATGTTGACAGGGAGCTCCTCCCAAATCTGAATATATATCCAAGAGTTTGCCTTTTTAAGCAAGTACATTAAACCTTTTAACTGTTCCTCAGAAATATGAAATCTGTGTTCCTTGTATTGCTGTTTTGTATAGTGGGAGGTTTTTGCATACTTGGAAAATGCACAATTTTTGTATATAAAAAAATGTATTAGATGAGATGCATATCTGTCCAGGCGTCCCTACTGGTAAGATATGACCGGCTATGGCAATGCTTCCCAAACTTTTCCTCAGTATGACCCCATTTATGGCCCCATTTCTTCAGCGTGGACCTATTTCCTCAGCATTGCCCCTCACTCCCAACCCACAGCCCTCCATCCCATGACCTCATCTACTGACATTGTGAACCCATTTGGGGTCACAGCCCACAGTTTGGGAACCACTGTGCTATGCAGCCGATAACTGTGTTGGAAATGAAGAACTGTTTCATATATGTTTAAATGGGCTGAAGAATTTCAGGTAGTTTGTTGCTGCAATATTTCCATAGTAACCAATTGTCTCGAGTACTTACAATTTAGAAAAGCATTTTCAAATAGTAGATATGTAATTGCTAAAATTGTGGAATATATCATTTCAGATTAAATTAAATTGAAATCTCTTCTTTATAGAAAGACTAGCATCATATGTCTAGTCTGACAGTACAGATGTTCAGGACTGGGGGAAATTGATAAATGTTAATAGGAAAGGAAATTAGAGTGACAGGATTTCTGAGGGGAATATTGCTTTTTAAGGTTAGAACAGTTTAAGGTAAATGTAATAGTAGATCAATTAAGATCTAATAAAGAAAAGCAACAGAGGAACCAAAAGCTTTGATACTCTTCTTTTTGTCTAAATTCTCCTGTGCCAAACACTTTTTATTCATAGTACAAGGAAATTCCATTATTCTTTTATTAGCACTTTTAATGGAGCTTAGCCATTTGCAAGTTCTGCTGCCTTCCTGCTCATATCCTTTGTGGCATTATATCAAAGTATCCTCAAATGATTTTGGCTTCAGTTGCAAAGACTTATGCACTCCTTTACAAATTAGTCATCAGACAACATGGAATTGAATATAAATGCTTAGATATATTTCCTTTTGATCTCAGTTTTAGGACCTTTATTAATTATTAGAAGTAGCAGAATTGCTTGATGAGTGAATTTTGAAGCTCTCAAAAGGTTTACCCTTTTGGCATTTTCACGCATGCTACCTGTGTGCATGAGAGCCTGAGGGAGCAAAGGGATCACAAGGAGAAATGAAAGTTTATAGGGAAAATCTCTCTCTCCAATTTCTTTTTATTTCTTCCATTGCAGTGTTTTCCCAGGGCAATCCACTACCTAGTTACAGTGGACCTGGAAGGCCAGCTACAGATATTATGACTAGATCAAGTTAGTTTCTAGTTTAATCCTTCTTTCTAGTACTGATAATCCATAAACATTTTTAAATCACAAATAAAGCAGGCACTAATGTTACTCAGAACTGCACAGATACTTGAAATACATGTTTATTTTAGTTTCACTTCAGTTTGGTTTTGGCTGGTATGTACTGGCCAACAGTTTTCTGGGATTGTTTTTATGGTATAGGACAGAGCTTGACTAAAGAAACGTGATTATGATTTTGCAAAGGTGAAGTCAGTGAAGAACCATCTTGTGATTTGTTTGAACTTCAGGATGTGTGACTAGTTTGATAAAAAAGGTTTGAGACTTTCTCTCCATTATACCAAATGGGCGAACAAAAGAGGGCGGAATAGAGCCAGAAGAGTTGTTCAGAGCCATTAAGAGATCAGGATAGGAAATTAGCTCACATTGGCTCTCACTGGACACCATAATGGGACATTGCAGTGTTATGGCTTCATCCTTTGGCCATGTGATACACCCAGGGGATGAGAAGAGATTTATCTAGAAAAAGCCCATGTGGCCAAGCTGGTCATTAACTCGCCATGCAGAAGAGTAAGTCTTTGTGCTGGGAATGGTATTATGGATATCTTTTCTGGACTCTCATCCATACATTATTTAGGCTTGCTAAGATTGAGGAAACTTATTTAAGGGTATCTTATCTTTTGGAATATGTCTCTAATACATTTACTGCTTTTTAAAATATTTAAGTGGCTGGTGGCAAGGACAGCATGCCCTCCCTTCCCCCGCCCCGCCCCGGTCTCTTAGTCCTCAAGCTGCTGGCAGCATGGCATTACTCTGTGGTGGTGCGACTGGAACAAGGGTCCTGGCGGTGGTGGCAGCAACAAATCTCCCTAACCCACTCCACCCTCTTGTGCTGGCTCCCACCTGCTGGGCTGTGAAAGTGACCCAGTGCCAGTTAGACCAGGCTGCAGTCCCATGCTCCACTGTGGGCGCACAAATTTGGGGGAGAATGTGCCCCCCATGTCCCCCTGGTGCATTGCCTATGCACTTGACCCCTCCCCAGGACTACGTGCAGCAGTGGGAAACCATGCCCCACACTAGCACCCCCGCCAGAGGAGCCACCCATGGTTCCATCCTGCTATCTGGCCGGGCCCTGCGGCCATACGTTCCTGCCCCAGCCCTGGGCCCCGTGCACCACCTTGGCTGTACAGAACCCCCAACCCCAGCTGCCAACCCTGACCCACTCCTTCACTGTGGAGGCTTGGCATGAGCCGTTTCCACTGCTTTAATCTGTGCCTCCCCCATGCCTCCATACATCTCCTATGCCCCCCCCCCC